TTTTATTTCTCACAGTAAGAAATCTCTCAACTGCAAATACTACAGCGAAGTATGGCACATGGTCAGCCTTCCTTCCTTTAAAGACTCTCATGTTAGAAAAAAAAAAAAAAAAAAAAGAATTAACATATAATGTTCTACAATTACAGTCTGGTAAAACTGTTCAAACTTCACAGGTTTTTCTGCAGCCTGAAATTTCTGGTATAGAGACACTTGGGGATTTGGACTGCAGTGAATCTAAGCCAACTTACATCTGCTGAAGATTTGCCCATGTAGTGGAAAGGGGCCAATAAGATTATGCAAATCAATTAGTCTAATTTGTCTTGAGGCTTTTCTCAGACCTCTATGGGTTTTCATACACTTTATTTTTAAATGCTGATTATACTGTCACTCGAGGAAGCAATAGGCTGCCTTGACAAGGCTGGTCACTTTAACTACCTGACATTTTCCCTGTATTTTCTTGCCTTAGTGTGCAGGTTTCTGTGTAGGTGATGGCTATATAGAAGACAGCCCCGATGTTCCAATATCTTGTGAATGCCATGATCCAAAAGTAATGTACTTAATCAAGTGTAAAGCATGAGGTGATTAAGTTTTGCAGTACTGTACAATGCCTGACTGCTCAGAAATGCATCTTTTGATGTGGTGCAGAGAATTGGACCAGTTCTGTCTGCTTTACCAAAAAATGACGGTTTAGTAATCTGAAAAGAGAGCCTCAGAAATCCCCACAAGTGTTTAACTTTGATCTGAAGGTTTAAAAGGATGATATTTATCTGTTTGCTTGTTTAATTTGTTTGAATTTTAAGCTCAGGAAGGTGTCAGCTTGACATCTTGCGGAAGCAATTCTTTGCTTTTTTTTTCCAGATAAGGTTGAGCAGGGGCAGCAAGTTTCCAATCATCACTAGTTGTTATAAGCATCCAACCAAAAAAAAAAAAAACAAGAGAAAGCAAAAAAGAAAACCATCAACTCACCTTTCCATTGTGGTTTATATGAATTATTAAGAACTGGGATTCAGTGGAGCCTCAATTCTTGAGCATAGAATCAATACTATATTTTATATAACAAGGGCAGTAAACCCAGATTGTTCTACTCGAATCACAGTGAAGCCCTGTCAAGTCTCTCAGGAAACCTAATCCACTAGGGCCAAAGTCTAACACTACTGATGTGAAAGGTGGATTGAGGTAGATTGAAAACTGGCTTGTATGGCTGGGCCCGGAGTGTGGTGATCAGTAGCACAAGATGTAGTTGGAGGCCAGTAACTACCAGTGTACCCCAGGGGTCAATACTGGGGTCCAGTCCTGCTTAACACCTTCATTAATGATCTGGATGATGAGACAGAGTGTACCCTCAGCAAGTATACAGATGACACAAAACTGGGAGGAGTAGGGTCACGCTGCCATCCAGAGGGACCATGACAGGCTGGAGAAACATGCTGACAGGAACCTCATGAAGATCAACAAGAAGTATGAAATCCTGCGCTGGGGGGGAGGGGGGGAATGACCACATGCTGGGGCTCACCTAGCTGGAAAGCAGCTTGGCAGAAAAGGACCTGGGGGTCCTGGTGGGCACCCAGTTGAACATGAGCCAACAACGTGCCCTTGCCGCAAAGAGGGCTAACAGTATCCTGGGCTGCACTAGGCAAAGTATTGCCAGCAGCTTTAGGGAGGGGATCCTTCCCCTTTATTCAACACTGGTAAGGCCATACCTGGAGTGCTGTGCCCAGTTCTGGGCTCCTCAGTACAGGAGAGACATGGACATACTGGAGACAGTGTAGTGAAGTGCCACAGAGATGATTAAGGTACTGGAGCATTTCTCCTATGAGGAAAGGCTGAGAGCTAGGACTACTTTGCATGGAGAAGAGAAGGCTTGGGGGGATCTTAATGTGTATAAATATCTGTAGGGAGAATGCAAAGAGGAAGGAGACAGGCTTTTTTCAGTGGCAACCCAGTGACAGGACCAGAGGAAATTAAGCACAAACTGAAATAGAAGGTTCTCTGAACATCAGGAAACACTTTGTCACTGTGAGGGTGACCGAGCACTGGTACAGGCTGCCTAGGGGGGGGGTGCAGGATCCATCCTTGGAGATACTCAGAAGCCATCTCTAGGTGGCCTGGCTTGTGCAGTGGGGTTGGACAAGATGACCTCCAGAGGTCCATTCCAACATTGACCATTCTGTGATACTGTGATTCTGTGAAAGACTTGTTCACTCCAGTGGAGTCGAGATGTGACCTTCTGTCCAGGAGCCTGTGAAATTCAGCTAACTTTCTTGCGCTGTAAGAACTATTTGCAGCCACTGCTAAAGCACAACTTCTTACTATGTCCCGGACATGAAAGAGAGAGAATAGATCTTCACTGAGTTCAATGAGAGGTTATTTCTGCATTTATTGCTTCTTGGATGAGGGTCCCAAAAAAGGGCCAGTTGTGATGGGACACAGGCCTGCAGGGAACTGACATCAGCAATCTCACTTCGAAAAGCGAATAATTAGGCAGATCTGTGTCAGTCTGTATCCAAAAGGTGAAAGGTTCCTTTGCCGTATTAGCTGCAGCCAAACTACCAGATTGCACTTCCAAACTCCTTCCCCAAACATAAAAACCAAATACCAGTTTCCTCACGCATATCACAAGTCACCCAAAAAGTGATACCTGCAAATACTCTGCATTGCACTGACCATTAATAACCATGTGGGCACATTTCTTCATTATGAGGGTGGTGAGGCACTGGAACAGGCTGCCCAGAGAAGTTGTGGATGCCCCCTTCCTGGAAGTGTTCAAGGCCAGGTTGGACGAGGCTTTCAGAAACCTGGTCTAGTGGAAGGTGTCCCTGCCAATGCCTGATGCTCTGTATGCCAGCAAAGAAAGTTCATGCAGTCACCAAGAGGGGAAGGTCCTGAGTAAACCTATAGAGAAACTGAGAAGAGGTACAGTGGACTCTAAGGTATTCCCTTTTTGTCCTGCTTGGTAAATGGAATACTGAATGTGAGTGACAATGGAGAGGGAAGAAAGAAGATAATAAATCCTGTTTGCTATCTGAGTTTTTAAAGTTGTTCTTTGAAAATGGAACCTGAAGTTGACTGAACTGGGTTTTAAATTATACCTAGAGTTTGACTGCAGAAATGCTACACATCCTACAGTATTTGTGACTCTGAAGTAGAGATGATGTAACCTAAGAAACTGAGTAATGACCACACTAAATTTATAAACAATGGTCTAAGTCTTTTGCTAAGGTAATTATATGACACTTAGGTGAAAACCAATTTCAGTCTGCACCTGTTGCAAGTTTACCCCAGTGTTTCATACCAGAAAAGGAAAAAGGGAATTAATAGATTCACAGGTCAGAAACTGAACTGTGGGTTAAGAGTAAAGAGTAAAATATTATCTTTCTAAATAAATTTGCCATGATTCAAAAGATACCGACAAGGAACACTCGGAGTGTGTTTTTGGGACACCAAACCTTCATCCTTTAAGTGTTCCAGGCCAAAGTCAAGAAGACAAATGATCACACAACAGAATGAATGCCAAACAACACCTGCTTCAAGTGAGGGGAAGAAACAAATCATGCTCAGAGCAATTTTTTACTGCAAGAGAGAGGAAAAGCCTTTCTTTTCCCCAGGAACCTCTTCAATATGCAGATCCTAGTATCCAAAAGCCACCTCATCCTACACAGCTGAAGGAAATAATTCCATCTTTTTAGTCTCTTCCCACTCTCCTTCTTCATCACTTAACCTGTCCAACAGAACCATTTCTATTTATGCTGTTTTCCATACTTCCAGATTCTAGGAGAGGCATAACTCAAGACTGCTTTCTTCACAAATCTTTTAGCCCCACTTACCCTATCTTGCAAGCTGAGAAATATCTAAAGTGAAGACTTCTAAATATGCCAAAGTCCTCCTATTCATCTCAAATCTGCAGCTAATTCCTGAACTCCTTGAAAATGATGACAGAGATTCAGATATTTTAAAGCCAAAAGTCACCTTTACTAGTCTGCAGCCTGATTACCTCCATAAAATGCATCATAGAAACCTACTCTGAAACCCCCACAGGAAAAACCTTTCTACTGGTTGAGCTAGAGTCTACCTAGCTAAAGTCATCTCAGCTTAAATTAGAGACGTTAAATGCTGAACATGTCACAGAAGCTATATTGTGCTCCACAGAACATTTTTGTTATCCAGTTATTGTTTTGTAAACATGTACACTGTGAATGTAAATATAAGCTGGGGTATAGCACTCCTGAGCATTTAAGCAGCTGTATTCTCCTTAAAACACTTTTGTGCCCTTTAGATTCTTATGCCAAATCCTGAAATCTGTACAGCATATTCGAGAAAAATTTCTACAAGATGCCTGCTTTGCAAAATAAAATTCTAGGAACTACTGGAAGTATTCAGATTATTCAGAGAAACAAAGAGCTGATGCAAAAGATTTAGAAACTACGTCTCATTTCCTATTCCAAATGAATTCAGTAGCAAAAGTTGCTATATAATTACATTTGCTGTTGAATGTGATCCTTAGAACTCATTCAAATTCCATTTTCTAATTTATCATGTTACTGATCTCACAATTTAGACTGCTGTCTGGTGAGATTTGGGCCCTAACAGAATGTGTCCTGTTTACAAGAAAGCCTAATTAGCGCTAGCATCTCTACACATCTAACAGGAGGATCACATTTCTCTTGCATGTACTGTATTTAGTTGGTAGAAAAGTGTCTAAAAATTATGTTACATTTTTGCTGACGCTTTCTTCTTTAGCTGCTTTAGCAGACTTTGCAATATCCTACCCGATAAAATTTACTTTGGCCAATATTAATCAGTCAGCTTGATGTCCTAACATTTACTTTTCTCTTTTGTTGTTTGCAATGCCTCTTGGAACCAGGACAAATATCAGACATGCGCTCATGTGAAGTCTGTGGTATGTACTATATAAATGAGACCTCCGTTCTAGCTACCTACTGCTATCGGAGCAGTACTCTTAGATCTTTATTTCTGAAAGGGATCGGTTTTTCTCAGGTGCCATGAAGGCACTAGTAGCTTTAATATTGCTTGTTCAGCTTCCAATTCTCAAAGCTGTACCAGCAGCTCCCCCTGCTCCCTTGGGCTGCGATGACCCAGAATCTGAAGCAGCAGCTGAAGTAGCTGTGAGTTATATTAATGGCCACAGCCATCACGGATACAAGTTTGCCTTAAACAGAATTGAGAATATCCGCGTGCTACCCCAGGTAAGTGAGGAGCTTGCAGGCAGAGCATCGTGTCAACCTGGAGATGCTTGGAAGCGACCAACAAGCCCTGCCAAGGGCTGTATCCCCACATGGGGTAAATCAGCATGGCTCTGTTGATTTAAGTGGGGCAATGCCACCTGGTAGCAGCTGAGAATCCAGGTCACTGGAATGTATCTCTCAAAGAGCAGAACAGAGAGGGAGAGAGAAATGTTCAGATACTTTTGTACAATGCTAGAAAGGGCTCAGTTTACAAATGCAGCGCGCCTGCTAAGGCAGATCTTCAAAGTGCTGATTCATGAGCCCAGTAGCTAATCTGGAGAAAAACTGTGAGGATAATCTTTGTGATGCAGGTAATTATTTATTGGCTAAATGTATACCTATCATAACTCCATGCTATTAGTGATTTTGTAGTAGGCATTAATTTTACCTAATATCCCATTGAGCTGACAAGGAAGCTGAATGGAAATAACTGTGGCTTGTAGTCTCATTTTCACCAAGATCTACTGCCGTCATTGTAGGCATCTAGAGAGGCTGTAGAAATGGTCATGAATACAATGTATGCACCCATTCAGAACCTTTGATTCTCTCAAAACATTGAAAACAGTCCCAAATATTAACCAGAATGAAACTCCATGGCTGTTTTCTACTTGTTATGAGAGAGGGGATACCAAAGTCGTTTACAAGAGACTAAAACAGACATTAATGAGATGAGAAGTGTGCCCCGTTAGCCCCACAAAAACACTGGTGACAGTGCTTTGCTCATATTTAGTACTTTTACACTAATACTCATCGGTTTAAAGGGAATCTCTCATGACTCAAACCTCAGAGTCAATCTCGGAACTAGAGAACCTTACTTCTGCCCTTCCACTCACATGTCTTATATTACAGTTGCAAAGGTTCAGGAACAACCATAGAAGATCCTGCAGTCCATAAATAACATGAGTATTGGGGCTGGAACTTAGCTGGTACAATTCAGTGTAATTCCAATGGACTAAATGGGACAGGCCAAGGTGCACCAATGTTTATTTGGTATCTAGTTATAGAAACACAAGTTTTTTTCATCAACAAAGACAGCTTTTAAAACTATCCAACAAATAACACCAAGTTAACTTAAGAGAACTGACCCACTACATACAGGCTAGACTTTCCAAAATATATGGGCCGGTTCCCCAGCTCGGGGGAAATAAAAAAGATAAAATAAAATCAACATGACTATCTTGACTTACTCTAGCTAAAAATCTGGGTTCTGTTTTTTATGAAGTGAAATAGTAAGGACCTATTCAGTTACTCTCGTGTATACCCAATGACAGTCAGCAACAGAGACCACAGTGCAGCCCCAGAGAAGAAATCTGGTGACATTTTGTAAAGTAATTACTACAATTCCCATGGTTGTTTTTTTTCCTTCCAGGGGCCGAATAATGACATAATCTTTCTTGAACTTGACTTATTAGAGACCAAGTGCCACATTCTCAGCCCTACGCCTCTTGCAAATTGCACAGTAAGGAGCTTCACAGAGCATGTGAGTATTTAAAACACTACTAGCTCAGTTCAAAGGTGCATATTCAGTATGTTGATGGTAGAGGCGAGGCTATCACCAGTTAGGTTTCCAAGCAAATGTTATATCACTGTAACAGCCTATAACCACCCAATCACTTGTAAGCTCCGTGTTGATTTAGTTGCCTTCAGGTTGTGAAGGATTTCACTCATGGATTTCTTTCATGTCCTGACATGTGAAGAGGACAGGTCACTGTCCATGTAACATCCCACATACAGTTCATGAATGCCTTGGGGCCTTTTTTAGGGGCTCCAGATTCAGTCCTCCATGCTCAGCCCAGATGTCACTGCCTCACTGCAAACCGTAGACAGGGCAGTTTGTGAATCTGTGCAAACACAACCTTCCCTGGGCTACGTGTGGTGTTACCTAGTGCAATTTCTGTCCAGTCTAGCCACCGAGTCCTAGTCAAGACCGCAAAGGAGCTATTGCCTTCAGACAGGGCTCTGCCTTCAAAGTAATGCTCAGCTGGAATTTACTGGCCTCAAATATTTTGTTCTTATGCAAGCGTGATCCAACTGCGAAAAGCTTTCCCTAACCAAAGCAGTGGAATGTCTGAGTACAGGCAGCGCAGGTTTCTAAGCAGAAAGCAGAGCAAGCAGTTGACAATTTAAGCCTGCTGTTTCTAGAATGGGGCCCAATTCACAGAGCTCATGACTAAATTTGAATCATGATCCACCCCTGTATTCACCAGGGCTCAGATCCCATTTTCCATCTTGGGGGAGGTAATTCTAACTGTTCCCTCTTCCCAGTGACTCCAGCTTTGCCTTTGACATCTCCTCCCCTGCTGCATCACGTTGCACGGGAGCCAGCTCGCACAAGGCAGCACACTCTGCTGTTACCATGGCCACTGACCAGCTGAGATTAGCAAGAATGTTATCAAACAGCTCTGCAGAAGGTCTTAATTCATAAGTATTCACATTCTTTGCTCTTTATGAGAGGGGAACCTGAACCAAATGTCCATAAGCTGGCTATCCTGGCACTTCTGATACTTTTGAGATCCAGATTTGGATCCAAATTTTGCAGTTCTGGTCTGCCTTTTGCAAAATCACAGGCACCAGGTCACGCCTAGCAGTGCCTTTGCAATCAGACTGATTTTGCCAGGAACACTCAGCCAGGATCTGTTCTTTTGAATTTAGTAATAGTTGCCCTTTTCAGAAATTCCTATTTATCTGAACGATGTAACTCTTTGATTTCTGTCTCTAGGCAGTTGAGGGGGACTGTGATGTCAAACTGCAGAAGTTGGATGGAAAGTTGTCTGTGCTTGCTAGTAAATGCCACTCACATGCAGGTAAGGACTTTGTTCTTTAGGTTTGAATCTGGAGGCTGGAGTATTGTTATAGCAGTGGTTACCGTTCATTAGCTTTTCTGATTCTAAAACGCCGCGTGTAAGGATGGCATAAAGGATGACATTTAATGGGTTTTCTAAACCCAGCTGTTTTGAAAGTAATTTTTTCCCCTTTTCTGATTTCATTTCACTACAAACCCAGCCTCTCTTTACTCCTCTTTACTATGACAAATAAGATACTATAAGCTTATCTGGGGAGCAAGTCCCAGATTTGACCTAGAGATTGCTGGTACTGAGGCTTTTCACTCAGGATTTCAGCCTCAAGGGCTTGATTCCTTGTTGGTCTGGATTTACCAGAGCTTGTTGATCTTCAGAGCCGCTTTGCCAGATGCAGCTTATGTACTAAACCCATCATTTTCAATATTGCCATGGGAAAGCGCAATCTCTATTCTGCATGCTCTGTACAAGATCTCTTTGCTCCGTAGGAGATATTTTCAGTGCTACTTTCAAAACTGGTGAGTGAATGAAACACACTCACGCAAGCACGATTCCAATAAATTAAAATATCTTCATTTTTCCACCATTCCTTGTGTAAGCTGGGACACCTTTCCAGTGGTGTCATGGATAGTTTGCCAGAAAGAGAATTGATTAAAACCTGAGTAAGAACATTCAAAATGTGCTATTGAAGTCCACAGCACTTTTGCTTGCAGAAAAGACTTAAATGGCAACAGCCCTGTTAAATACTGCCATCTATAGCCTGTACTGCAAAAATGCCTTCTATAATTTGGGACAGACCATGAAACAGTGTTTTTGTGTGCTGAACAGGTCTATAAAGCCGTTCAAAACAACCTATAACCTGATCGAAACACAATCTGTTTGGTTCCTCCTGCAGACTCAAGTGAAGATGTTGTCCGACTCTGCCCTGACTGTCCACTGCTGGCACGTCTGAATAACACCGAGGTATTAACAACTGTTACAGCCGCGCTCAGTGCCCACAACAGCAAAACTACTGATGCTTACCTCAGGCTCCTTGAGATTGGAAGAGCCAACATACAGGTAATCACTAGAACTATGACTAGCCTTCCATGTAAACAGAGTATTTCTTCTGTGGTAATTGTGCAGTGCTAACTAGTTATGCTTGCAAACAGATTTAACTTGCTCTAATTTGCCCTACTGAATTGCTGTTGATTTCCCAAGCATCTTGTGTCGTTTTAGCCACAGGATTCCCTTTCACTTCAGTGGGAGATGCAGAGCGAGAAGCCACAACATGCGCCTTTTATCTTTTCTCAGCAGCTCTGCAGTTTCACAGTGCAAAGTCACTTAAACAATTTTCCTGTTTTATCAGTATCACCCAGTGCATACCGTCTTTGTTGAGTTTGCTGTGGCTGCCACGAACTGCTCAGCGGCAGAAGCTAAAGATAATGCGGAGGCTTGTCAACTGCTGCCTGACGATCAGTCTGTAAGTATGCCAGCACATCAGTCCTGATCTCGCCAGCTCCGAGGTAGAAAGGCGGCATGCTGTGATGCGCTCGCACTTGTGCAGGAATAGAACTTTGTGAGGATGAAAGTGCAAGAGCTGTATACCGTCATGACACGCTTTTCAATACATAATTCCTAAAGCTATATCACACCTTTCCCTTCTCTCTGAGATACCTGAACTGAATCCTGATGTATTTGAATATATTTCAAAAAAGCTTGAGGACCAAAGTGTCCTTAACACAAAATACTTTCAATCGACAGAATATATGTTATTGTTTACTCTTCTTAACATGACCACCTGCGCAAATCAGGCTCTTTGTACTGGACAGTGCACAAACACATAACAAAAGGGCAGACTGTTTCACCTTCCTACAATTTAAGTGCTGTCAGTATGCTTTGTTCTGATACATAGGGTCTCAAGAATTATGTTGTGTACTTTATCATGCTAAAATTCTTCTTTTGTTTCTGATGAAGTTGAGTCCTAGGCAGTTTTAGTGGGTGGGAACCTTTTACCTAGATTCCTATATATTCTTTCCCTCCCTCATATCCAGACATACAAAGGTTCTTACTCTAGAAGAATACAGGAGTTTCACTTATTTAATAGTTACGCATTTAAACAGCTTGGCTTTTGAGTCCAACAGACCAAAAAGCAAGCACTTCACTGCTCAGATAAAACATGAGAAGATGTAGCTATTTCTAAATGTACTGAAATTAAAAATTGTAACACAGGTCTCCTCTGTTTTATAACTATTTTCTCTTGACTATATTCTGCTTTGCCAGAATTTTGGTTTCTGCACAGCGTCAGAGGCAATACGTCCCTTACAGGACCTCCAAGTGAACTGCCAGCTCTACGGACACCAGGTACCAACCCCAGATATTCCCTTCCTTTCAAGAGTATTAGTCTAGCCTACTAGTACTGTTAGAAGCAATCACCCCGAGTTTGCCTCTTTCACTGCAGACTGCATTAGCTATCTGTGATAACTTGAGTTTAACTTTGTATCCTAAAAACAAAGGTAAGGTAGCTCCTGTTTATCCTATGGATTTCTGTGCCAGGAATTACCCCTGCCATCCATGCTTGGCACAGTTTGTCCTCCTAACCAGCTTCACGTGTCTGGTAGGGCAAAGGGAACCAAACTCTGCTCAGCTACGGGGCAGACAGATGTAAAACATAAATGAGCCATTGTGGTAGATGAAATCAGCTGGGGTTTTTTGCTAGTAGTCCTTAGACACGACTGAATTCAGGGAGCCTGACCTGCACTGCTATAGCAAGAGGAGGGAAACATATATATGCACTGGACCTGAGTGCTCTCCAGGTATTTTAGCCTCCATTTGGTCTGAGAAGGGCTAGGTGGTGGTTGAATACTTCCTATGGACCAGAGCTCTTGGTAACACAATAGTAATTAGCTGTCTAGAAGGTATACGAAAGATAAGACAGCTGGTCTTGAATGTTTTGCCAGCAGCACAGGTGGCCCTGAAAGTTCACACAGCACAGAATTTGGTGCTAATGATCCACCGGATATTAAAAATGTGTTCCTGGGCTCCTGTGTATGTGTTCAAATGGGAATCAAATTTCTGTGATGGTCAGGAACATATTGTACCTGGGCTGGAGGCCTATATCTAGTTAGGAGCAGGGTACCTCATGAGACATCAGTGACCTGTATATTACAAGCCCCAAGTCACAGAACACAAACTGTTTCTCTTTTCCAGCCTGGAGTTACCTACTCTAAAGGTCAAGGTATATCAGCAGGACTGCAGCCCAGTGTTGTACAAGGCCACACAAACCATAATCTCAGGCTTTCCCACAATAACCCTGTTGCATCTGAATCCAGCTCTTCAGAATTTCCTTCCTCCATCCTCGCAGCAAAATCTGTAGCAAAGAGAGCGATTGCAGAGGTTGCTCAGCATGACAAAGTACCTCACCCAGTTGGCTTTGTGCCTCCTCCTCCTCCATGCCCTGGGAAGATTCGCCATTTCAAGATATAGGCTGTGTTACAGACATGGCAATGCAGATAATGGAAGGATGAGCGTGCAGCAGCAGCATCAACACACAGACAACAACATCAAGTGCAAATAGGTGAGAATGCTTGACTCTGAGCCCAAATGAGTTTTACCCTCCAGAGGGCAGAGCCAAGGCCAGGATCTTGCAAAGGCCTGCTTCAAAATATAGGTGCTTACAACATATAGCATTTGTTTTCTTTACATACAGGGATGCTCTAGCTAAAATACAGAAAAAAAATGTTTCAATGAAACTGTTGTAAGAGCTATACAACAGTTGTAGCTTTGTGATAGAAACACCACCTGAAAGGTTACTTCACAATAAAATGTTCAATAGAAATGCTTTGGTATCTTCTATCTGTATATATTTTCATCTAGTTGTCGAGTATCTCCTTCACAGCATTATGCGTCATATTCTGGGCTTGATTTCAAAAACAGTAAGCTCCTGCACTTCTCATCAGCTTCAATGGGATGTGTGGGTGCTGAGCACGGTGGAAAATCAGGTCAGTCCTTTCTTTTGATCACACACCAATAACACTAAAAAAGTGGCAGGGAAAAAAAAAAAGTATTTTTCCCTTCCCCCTGTAGTGTTTCCTAGCATGTACCTACTTTTAATATCCACCAGAAATACCTCAATACTTTTGGACATGGCATAAGAGCATCCATGCCTATGAAAAGAACAAAGAATCAGGACACATTCATTGCTGTGCAGGCTGAAAGCATCAACCCTTCTAGCCAAACACATGTGTATTCTCTGTCTTCCAGCAGATACACAGGTGCAATATGGTCACAGGGTACTATATGGCCTGTGTGCATACGAGGGAATACCAATTCAAGGGAATAAAAATATACTACAGACATGTATCTCATATAATAGGACCCAGACAGTGATGGCAATTTACCATTGTCCTAGCAGTCAAATCATCCCTGAATTTCTGACATGTTAGAAGCAAAATCTATTCTAAGTAGAGAAGTAATAAGGGACAGGGGACAGAAGGATCTTTACTGCCAGGCAGACTGGAATTCTGCAGGCCCGGGAGAGCAGTCTCAAAGACAGTCATGAATCTTTAACCAGGAACAGCACTTGCTACAAGATAATTATCATGCAGGCAGCAAAAGCTGCAGAACACATGTAATTTCTGAACTGTTTCAAATAACCTATCCTGTTCTCTTAGTTACAACCTTCCAGTATTCAGTAAGCAACGCAACTAACATTTGTTCTTGGTGACAGTGCAACAGGTTGCTATACAGAAGGGTTCTGCTTTGCTGTGTCAATGGGGAAAGGAAAAGCCGTAGGCGCTTGCACCAGTGCTTCGACTGGGGGTGTGGAGGGGAAAGAAAAAATGGAAATCAGCACAGACTCTATAAGCCGTAGTATATCACGATGGCAACCTACAGCTGACAAGCTCTTCCCGTGAATGCAGTAGCTCTCACGTTTCAAGAATATGCTGAGTTCTTGCAAGAAGTGTGTTGCAGGCAATTGCACAAGCTACAGCCAGTCAATTGCTCAGTGATTTTTTTGCTTCTCTGTAGAGCAGTGTCTCCAGTATGTTCTGCATGCAGCCATTCATTTAAAAGGTGCTAGTATTAAGCTGCATAAATTTCTTGAAGTGGTAAAGTGGGTGGTCCTCCCATCCCACTGCACAAGATGTGGTACAGGAATTAATGAAATGCTACTATTATGATCTGCATTACCATAACATCAGATACATGACACAGTTTTTAACTCACCTGGAGCAATTAGTTTTCCTAGCCTGTGTATTTTTAAAACTAGGAATCGCCTTAACCGAACCATACAAATTGTCTTGTTTACAATGCAGCGGGCACTAAGTTATAGAAGAGACAGTGTTTTCCAGGCTTAAAAAATTCTCTACCTGATGGCAGAAACAGTATGATTATAAAAGGGATCCCTGCCCATGGGGATTTGTCACCTCCAGAAATGCTGCATTTTCTTGTTGCCTTTTCCAACCACACTAAGGAAGGATATGTAGCAGAACATCTGCAGCCTCCACACTTCACAGATGTTCTCCTACACCTGGCCTAACTACTCCATTGTTTCCTAAAACAGGGAGGAAAAAAAAAAAAAAGCAGAATTGCTGTGTGCTCTCTTGTGATCCCCAGTTAGTAGCTGCACCTCATCATCTTTCTCCGTAATACTTGCTCTCTAAAGGACACACTTTGCCCTCTTCAGGATATATTTTTCATGACTGCGTTGAAGCATTCACTTTGCCTCCCCTCAGCTTGGCCCCCTACTTGTGCACTTCGACCTTAGTAACCGAGGCAGTATTTAGTAATAGATTCTCTGGGCAATGAGTGCTACGAAATGGCAATACATGAAATACAAATGCCTCCTTCCCTGAAATGCAGCATGAATAGCTTTGTCAGGTCTGCATCGCTGGCTGACAATGTTTTGCAGCTTTTTCAAACCCTGTTTTGCTAAAGCATATGTACTTCATGTGCTGCTTTGGCTGGACATGCTCAGATTTCCCAGCTGTGTCCATGTTTTGAGGTCAGCTACTTCAACAGTTTTTTCCTTTCCAGTGGGAGGAAGAGTACAAAGAGCAGAGTCAGGGATATAACAATTCCCCATTATAGGAGGCACCGACACAGCCAGAACTAACTGGCACCCATCTCCATAGAAATGCCATGTACTGTACGGATAAAGAAAATGAGTTATTATCCTTTAGCCGCAGGGGAAGCATTCCCAGGCACAAGGAACAATGTGAGTGAGTTTGCATTGCTGCTTCTGCTGTTCCTGTACTATGGCTACAGCAGTGTTTCTCAACATTCATCCTTGGTATCCCTTCCCTCCAGGATACAGTCCACACATTATCCCTCACCCTGAATTTGCAAAGTAACTGGCAACACATGAAGTGGCCCAGACCAGCAGCCATGTGCCCCTTCTGTCCTGCTATCTGAGTTTTCCACCTCTGCCACCAACCGAAGTCTCCTTAGAAGAGTTTCAGTCCCAGTGCTGTTGCAGGTCTTGCTGGCTGCATGTATAATCCCACTCAGCTTTCTATGGGCATTCCCTGGGACAGGTTCTGCTGTCTCCCAGAGGAACGTGCTTTGAGCACCGCTGGGCTGAAGAGCTGAGATTCTTTATACCACCTGTAAAAAGACCATGACAATATATAAAATCTTAACCCCCCCCAAACTTTACAGTTCTATTAAATAGAGATAGTTACATCCTTCACTTGCACTTTTCCTTCCTCACTCATACAGGGGCAACCCTCAAACCTAAAGGTACTCGGTGTCATCCAGCAGATAGCTGTGACTCCCATGACAGAAAATGAGGGTCAGGGAAATAGTCACCCAGCTTCTGGTATCCTTCAAGGTGAAATGCTGCAGAGTTGCTCCTTAGCAGAAAACCAACGACTTTCACTGGGATCCTCCCCAAGTAATGGTGGTTGTCACTTCTCCAGATCCTCAAGGTAACAGCTCTTTGTACAGCTATGTCCCCCTGTCTTCAGCCTGGAGTCCCTGACAGGTTAGCCACAAGGCACATCACTGTCATTTCAAACTAAAGTTTCTCCAGACAGTATTTTTCCATGACCCTTTTTCATCTGTACTCAGCAAATCACTTGAGAATCAACAGTGACCAGAGCACAGTCTCTTAGCTGGCAAATCAATCTCCAAATTCAGCAGTGAGGGGTAAGTCAAAGGTAGGAATAAACCTGCACAGCTCAGCATGTGCTCTATGGTATTATGGGGGCCAGCTGAGCCAGCAAATAGCTCCCCCCGAGTCACAGCCTCCATCAGGATTGTGTTATTTATTGTTGCTGAAAAGGAAAGAAAGCAGAGCACTGAGTAGTGCTAAATTAAAATAGTGACATTGCTGGACCAATTCCCTTATGATTCTCCTGTGGCTTCCTACAATTTAATCTGGGATAGGCTGTGGCAGTGGTTAGAGAAGCCAAGGAGCTAAAGATTAGCAGGTGGGACTTTTCCTTGAGCCAATTCTGACCATACAATATAAGGGAGACACCACCACTGAACAAGGTAGAAACCTAAGGTCCGAAATCATCCGGCCAAGATGCAGTTAATGGGATAAGTAGCTGCACTTCACAGAGAAGTCCAGACTACATCTGGGAGAGCTATGCAAGGTGATGTGAACTGGCAAAGGAACAACTGGATGTGCATTTTCCTTGATTCAAAGTACAAGAAGAATAATTTACAGGTGAAAAAAGAGCAAGAGGAGACATAAGGAGGAAGGCACCAGCTACAAGCAGTCAAACAAAGGTCGTTTACCGTGCAGTTTAGGTTACATGCTCTCTCTTCTTTAAAAAGTTCTTTCTGCTAGATTCTCCCCTTCAGACCTCTGGCACTGAGATGAGTGTAATCAGCCCCAGGTCCATAACTTTCTTACAAGGCCACCTTTCTCCCCCCTCCCCTCTCAGCATATAATTTCAGATGGTTCTTATTTCATCACTAAGTTTGGCAATAAAGATGCAGCAGCATGTTACAATTAGCGGTGGAGTTCATATGCAACTGTACGTGCCTCCAAACCCAAAGGAATATAAAAAGCTAGGCATTGCCAGGCAGGGGCTGAAACCAGGCGCAGCCAAAAAGTTAAGATGGGAGGAGATAAAAGGAGACAAGACTTGCCCTTTGGCATCAGAAGCAACATGTAATGATGGCAAGTTCACAGAGTACTTTGCCCAATGTTGTAGTGAGAACAAAGTCAGAATTTGGGGGAAGATGGGACGAAATAGAAATGTTCAGGGCCCAGGGAAATCAGAGTGTGGGGTGTCAAATACCTAGTAGGTGTCAATAAATTGAGAGTTTTAGGCAACAAAAGGTGAGTGGGCTGGAGTCAAGGCATTGAGAGGGAACAAATCCTGAAATGGAGCCTCCAATAGCTTAAGACTGGTTTGATAGCCCTGGTTCACATACTGTCTGTTTCTTCCAACCTCTTACAGCAGCTCATTTTGCACCGTCCCACCAACAGATATGAAATCTTTAGGGAGAGAACAAAACTTACCACATCTACTATATTCAATTACAGTGAATGTTAAGTCCCAAATAAACACAATGGAAATTTCTGTTAAAAGCAGACAGCGTGATGAAACCCTTAACTCTTTACATTGCCTTGTTATTGTGTTATCTGAGAGTATTTAACAGCTTGAGCAGACCATTCATCCACAGGCTTTTTGTCTGGACATGAACTGCATTTTGATGGCTTGGCTTGGGCTAAGGACTAACATTCATCTATAGCTGAGTAGAAATGCTCAGAGAATGAATCCAAACCAAGCTTTCTATCCCAACCAAACTGACTGCATATAACAGAGAATTAGTATATTTGGTTACAATTAACATTTAACAAAGTGTCAAATCAGTCAACCTTGTGGCCCTTATCCACTTCACATTCAAATTACTGAGACCTCTGTCATTGTGTTATTTGGGAGAACTGGATCACGGACAGAAGTGATCAGTCAGACCTGTCCTGCATGTAGGTTTATTTAAGCAATTCTGGTTTTTTAAGAAAGCAGCTTTGTGCGTATATTCTTGTCCCCTGCAATGAGGTCAAGGTTATATGATCTGCCCAGTGAAGTCTGAATTGGAGATGTAATGCCAGAAGGAGAAAGTGCTCTTTGGTCTCAGAGGGAGCGACAACACTTTTGTAAAACCTTGTAATCATTGACTTAGTGTTTGCTGTTGCAGCTGTAGGTTTAAAGGTGATGGACAGCATGTAATAAAAAGGGGACACAAGTTTATAAAGAGACATGGGTCCATTACAAGAGTCTGCTATTTCATGCAGGTCAGCCCCTCCATACTGATTTACCATTCTGATCTGCTGCACTGGTTTTCTAAGCAGAACGGTTTTACTTCTTTCAGTGCTCTTTGGCACAAAGGCGCTTTGCTCCTGCCAGGGAAGCACCGATGGCATTGCTTTCCCCCAGCTGTGATGACACTGCAGGAGAGGAAGCTGCAGATCTGGCTCTTTGCCAGGTCAATGCTGACCAAAAAGGCGGCTACATACTCAGTCTCTACTGAATTTTCAGTGACCAAGAACATCTTCCAGTAAGTTACCTGATGGTTCTCTATCTGTTTCTCTCATTAAGACCCCTGTGTCTATCACTATTCTTTAGCAATATCTATTTGAGCTAAGAAATGTTTCAAAAGGCAAATGTAAAGTTACATTCACAGGACTCCAGAGGCCATGTCAACTTTACGCACAGATGACTAGAAACAGTTTCATCACCACTGTGGGCAATTAGAGAGCAAATCTCAGTCATGATTCTTTGCTGCCTGCCCCTGGAATAGCTCCAGGCACCAGTTCAGATTTGGTATGAAACACCACCACTCTGATTTGATTTAATTTTCCACCTTCCTTTTACTGCTGCTGGGACTGAGTACATAAGCAGCAGTCAGCTATGTCAGGGATGTTCATGGGCAGTAACAACCTTATGCAACCTTCTATTCCCCTCAAAAAAAGATAAAGAAATACTTATTTCTTATCAGTCAGTGGTCTTCCCTCCCGTTTTTTAAATGAATACTCAGGATAAAAACATTTTCAAAGTTACTTCAAATTCAAATCTGCCCTTAAGCAACCTGTGGTTCACTTTTACCCTAATTGAAACTAATGAGCCATCTGCTATTAACTTATATGCAAGTAGGACAGAGCCTTTCTTTCATACAAGATACTCATGATTAACTTCATTGACAGGCACTTAACCAAAATTACAAAACATGGCAAAATATTTCATTTCTTTCCCTTGCACCAGGTCACCCTGCCAGAAAGGTGATGCTGCGCCCCTGCCACATTGCTTCTGGCTCCCAGGCTCCCCAGCATGCATGCAGCAGCAAGCCTAGCATCAGCAGCGCTGAGGAAGGGATCTTTTTGGCCACGCAGAAAAGAGAGAAGATTTTATTCAATGCTAAGCAGATATCAAAAGGCCTTTGCATAACGGCCTTTTAATGAAAATTAAAATAAGAATGATGAAAACCTCAGAGATCTGCTGAGCTCTAAATAAACCCCAAATTACCCTTTCCCCAGCGGAGGATGATACATACAGAAGCAGGTAGACAAAAAGATGTGTAGATTTTATAACAACCTTATCTGCGTATTACAGTTCATATTATACAAGAGAGCTACAGGTAACAGGAAATACAGTGTGGTCCACCCTGGTTGCATTTAGTATTTCCAAGATCATCAAGCTTTGCAATCGGTCTTCATGATTCATCCATCTAACATCAAACCCATTTGACTATAAGAACATTTCTTTTACGAGACATCTGTGTGCTTTTGCCTGCAGAATACCTGAACAACCAACTTGAAAGCTCAAGTGACCAGTCCCAACTTTGCCATTCCTGAAAGGTACACACTTTCCTTGGCTATTATTTCTTCATGCAGGATAGTCTTAGTGATGTTTTTTCTCATTGAGGATATATTTTAAGTTACAAGCTTGTACCAAATGCTGCACTACTCAAATACATTTTCAGCAAATGGCAATTACTCTTTGACCAGTCATACTTTCTCTTTACTGATTTACCCTATATTAGCTACCATATTAAGGAGACATATCACCATAGTATTTAGGTACCTAGTACACAAACAGAAAATTACGATCAGTTCCTTCCACAGAAGGGTCTACACAGCCAGGTGTGGGGACACTGCCATGCCACTGTACACAGTGCTGCTGCACCTCAGCTTCGCTCTTTGTCAAAATAGCTTTTGATCTTTTCACGACCTTCAAAATGGCACTTTTAATTAAACCTCAGGATTAGTGTGGGCAAACCCCGAGAGCTCAGTGCAAGGCATTACCAGATTACTTCATAGAACACTTAGGGGAAAAAAGAGGATACGAAAATACAAAAAAATGGTATCAAGCATGACAAGTTGCATACATAAAAATATCACTTAGAGAAAAAGCTAACAAAACAATTTACTCATTCTTTATTTTCTATTTATTTTGCTCTTTTATATTTAAAGGGTTTAATATTACATTACAAGTATATATGGTAGAGCTTACATAAAATCACCATCCCAGTCTCTTTCCAGAGATCTCTACAGTGTGACCAGAATAATTTGTATCACTCTGTCTCCTTAGAACTCAAAAGCAGGTACCACTTAGTGTATTTCCAAGCAGTATAAAAACAAAAAAGCCAGCAGTATTCCAGCCTTTAGATGCCCTATTGACTGGTCGTTAGTTGCTGTTAAACAGAAATCAAAACTGAAGCCAAAATTGTACAGATACTGGCCCCAGACTTCTACAAGACTCTTGCCCACAAAGCATTTTCTCCATAAACCCATGAAATCAAGTAGGAAGGAATGAACACTGCTCTCATTCAGTTTCATTTTGTCTCCCTCTTCAAAGAGATAATCTCAGTCTAAACTTGCAGCTAACACTCACATCTGAGTTCTTTAGGATGTTTAAAGGACAGCTGCTCTCTTCCCAGCTTTCCACTACAGAAAATAAAAGATGATCCTTCTAAGCTGTATCCTGGATGAATATCCTGGAAAGGTGCTCACTCACATCTACTGTGGAAACAGAACCAGGAGCTGCACCATGCAGCATCTCATTACTCTGTACTACATCATGTAATCACTAAATATATGGAGCTGGACTTTTAGTCTTTCCCTGTCCCTCTTGCATGGAAACATGGTAGCCCGAAAGTTGAGCCCTAACTGCTTTGTGCACCTGTGCTGCAGTGAATTGAATAAAAGTTTCTAGGCTTAAGCACAGGCTCAGAACTCAAGCACAGGACTGAAGCTTTGAGTGAGTCAGAGACATCCATGGAGACAGGCAAGCTCTCTCACAGCACTTCCCAATACCTGAGAGAATATTTAAGTCACCTGCATCAATACAGTCATTGCCTCTCTACGGCAAGTGCAAAGCATCCATACTTGAAGATGACACTAAGTAGTAAGACATTTCTGTTTCTAATGACTACCAGGAATGTTCCATGTTAGCAGTTTTTTATTACCTGTCATATTTATCATCTCATTCTTACTGAGGGCAAAATAACCTACCTTTCAAATCTAATCATAAAATGCAGTTGACAATGAAAACATCACCCTGCTTAGTCTTTATTCTTGGTTTTTCGTTGGTACCAGAATCAGAAGGACAAAACTGACTAAATAAGGCTGTTCTTTAATTAAAGCTTGCTAGACACAGGACCAAGCCTGTTCTAACAGGGCCTGTATCTCACCTGATTTGCCACCCTTGAGGATTTGTCCCAAAGAATGTTCAGTTTGCAGAGTATCTGTGCATCCCACCCCTGTGTTTTGTGTTTCTCCATTTCCCCCTTTTATACGTCCCTACTTTGTTCTGTTCAAACTGGTATATGACCCTTTCTCTGGTTTTGTTTTCAGGAGATCATTGGTTCTATCTATCTCATCTTGGAGGTAGTAGACACCAAATGCCACGTACTCAGCAAAAAGTTGTGGAAGAACTGTATGTGTGATGAGTTACTCAGGTACTACTGATGACAGCAAAATCCCTACACATGAATTTTCAGTAGGCAGCAGAGTTTAGAAGAAATCAAACCCCATTTTTCAGGTCCACGGTTTTCCTCTGTACTTTCATCAGTTTATAGACTGGTAAGATTTATTTTTAACAAATGAAAACTAAAAGAAAGTTTTTGACCAGAGGTAATAAGCAGACATAACTAAATAGCCACGCTAGGACACTATTTAGAATAAATGGTTTACTTTTTATAGCAACTCTGTTAAGAGTTTATTTTAAAGACAGCCTGTCAAGAAAGGAATAAAAGAAACTCACTTTTATATAACATGAGATGTTTGGTTTAGTTTAATTCCACTTTTATTCTGACAACTTTGCAAAAATTGTACTGAAAGAAGGGAAAAAAGAAAGCTCAGCAAGATAAGCTGCAAAGACAGAAAGTGATCTAACACTGTTGCTACAGGTGACCAAAACGATTCTGAATAAGTGAAAAAACCTACCTTATAAAATGAAGAATGACAAGAAAGAAGCTTCACATGTGAAAAAAAAAGAAGTTATGATTAAACTGTCCTGGGCTGCTTCTTAGGTCAATCGGTTTTCATTTTTAAATGAAAAAATGGACCTAGAGGCCTTGTTCACACATGTGGCGACATTTAAGCAGCACTCAGAATATACATTCAATTTTAAAGGCACAATGGATATTAATAGGCCAGTATTTTTTTCTGGCATAAAGTCAGAGTTTCTTTGTGTGCAAGGGTGATCTTACTGTGCCACAAAACTGATGTAGGGTCTTTCCTACCACTCTTCTTCCCTACTCTGGACATAGGGAAAAGTGGGAAGCTGGAATACAGGTGACTGGATCCAGACACTGAGCTGATCTCCAGGTTTAAGCTCTCTCTGTTCTAGAGATAGACCCAGGTCCTGGTGCCTGGCAGGGAAAGCACTCTGCGACACTTGGGCCCTTCTTAGCTGCCAGAAGAGTGGCCTCGTGTATGCCATCCTGCAGACAGGCACTGCACCTGTATAGCTCAGAATTACACCAGGGGAAGATCTGGCCTTTTATTTCTAAAGGAGATACTTAGAAATTTGCTTCATTGCCATCTAACTATTAAATACAGCTTTATTCTTGAAAAGATTTTCATGACTGCAAGGAGAAAATGAACCACTTGCTGTCTAGGTACCAGATGATCAGTGCAAAGGGTGCAATATTAACTGTTTCTAAATATTTATATTGTTTTAGGTTTATGGTCAATGCAAAGCAATTATCTACATTAATCAGGCAAGAAATATTGCTCATCTGAATACTTAGGAGTGCATTTTACAACTAGGTATGTCTATTTAACATAATCACTTTAAAAGAGGACTGGAAAAACGCTCTTTGCCATGTAGCATTACTTTAAATTTTAATTGTAATTATGGCACCACAGCGTCTCCATTAGCTTTCAGATGCCCTAATTTTCTGAAGTCAGTGATCATAAGTTCAGTGTGGTCCTGCAGCTCAAAGCAGTGCAGTAATAATTGGTTTCATCTCTGGGAAACCCAGCAGAGCCTCTATATGGGCTTTTACCCTCTGGTCCAAAAAGCATTTTTATGGGTTTGTAAAAGGCAAGTAAAAACAGCAAGCCCACTTGTCATAGGCTCACTGTAGGTTGAGCTTTTTTTCTGCAGTGTCTCTGCATCCACTGCAACATTTTTATGGGTCTGCAAATTCATAAAGATTCAAAATTGTTGAGTGAATCAAACCACATATTGTTACTCCAAGGGACTGTAGGGCAAGTGGGTAGGGTTGGGGGCATAGATGTATTTACAGTGACCTACACTATCAACATAGAACCATAGAATGTTTTGGGTTGGAAGGGACCCCGCGGAGGTCATCTAGTCCAACCCCCCTGCAGTGAGCAGGGACACCGCTAACTAGATCAGGTTGCTCAGAGCCCTGTCCAACCTGGCCTTGAATGCTTCCAGGGATGGGGCCTCCACTACCTCTCTGGGTAATCCCTTCCAGTGTTTCACCACCCTCATTGTAAAGAATTTCTTCCTTACATCCAGTCTAAACCTACCCTGGTTTAGTTTAAAACCATTACCCCTTGTCTTGACAGAGCTGGCCCTACTAAAAAGATTTTCCCCATCTTTCCTATGGGGCCCCTTTAGGTACTGAAAGGCTGCAATCAGGTCTCCCCACAGCCTTCTCTTCTCCAGGCTGAACAAGCCCAACTCTCTCAGCCTGTCCTCATAGGAGAGGTGCTCCAGCCCTCGGATCATTTTTGT